CCCCCCTCACCAGCCCTTCAACCGCCACTGTGCCCACCTCTCTCCTCTCCCACCACCGCCTCTGTGTCCACTGACCCCCTCTGGCTCTTCCACTGCTACTGTGCCCACCTCCCTCCTCTCCCCCCACCACCTCTGTGTCCATTGCTCCCCCTACAGTTCTCCCACTGCACCACCTCTCAAATTGTCCCTGTGCCACCTCTCTCCTTTCCCACTGTCACCTCTGTGTCCACTCCTCCCCTGGTTCTTCTACTGCCACTGTGCCAACTCTCTCCTCTCCCACTGACACCTCTGTGTCCACTGCCTCCCCCCTTCTTCCACTGCCACTGCGCCACTCTCTTTTCTCCCACTGCCATTGTGTCACTCTCTCCTCTCCCACTGCCACCTCCATGTCCACTGCCCTCCTCACTCCTCCACTGCCACCGTGCCCACCTCCCTCCTCTCTCACCATCACCTCTGTGTCCACTGACCCCTGGCCACTCACCTGGCCTCTCTCTGTGCGATCCTACCACAACTGCCAGCCATGGGTGGTCTGTAGTCATACAAATTAGACAGCCGCGGTGACCCAGCGTGTGCTGAGGCGGCCTCCTCATTGCTTGGCTACAGTGCACCCTCTGCTTGTTCAGTGTGGCTGGCCCGGCAGAGCGGCGGAGGGAGGGAGCAGAGATTTTCTCCTGGGGGTGGGGCAATTGCCCCGTTGCCCCCTGGATCTGCCCTTGTGCAGAGAGAGGTCACTGTGGGGCCCCACCAAAATTTTGGTATGTGGAACTATGATATACAGTGTGGCAAATAAGGATTTGATCCCCTGCAGATTACAAAGAAATGAAAGGTCTATAATTTTTATCATAGGTGTATTTTAAATGATAGAGACAGAATATCCACCAAAACACCCAGAGAAGTCACATGACACAAATGTTATAAATGGAGTTGCAGTTCAGGGAGTAAAATACATATTTGATCCCCAAGCAGAACATGACTTAGTACTTGGTGGGGAAACCCTTGTTGGGGAGCACAGAGGTGAGACATTTCCAGGGGGAACCCTTGTTGGGGAGCACAGAGGTGAGACGTTTCCTGGGGGAACCCTTGTTGGGGAGCACAGAGGTGAGACGTTTCCTGGGGGAACACTTGTTGGGGAGCACAGAGGTGAGACGTTTCCTGGGGGAACCCTTGTTGGGGAGCACAGAGGTGAGACGTTTCCTGTGGGAACCCTTGTTGGGGAGCACAGAGGGGAGACATTTCCTGGGGGAACCCTTGTTAGGGAGCACAGAGGTGAGACGTTTCCTGTGGGAACCCTTGTTGGGGAGCACAGAGGGGAGACGTTTCCTGGGG